CAGCTACTAACCTGAAAACAAGGGATCGCAAGCAGCGTGACTGCGTGAACTCAGACGAGCACTGCTTCTCCTCACAGAAAGGTTAGCCATCCCCTAAAGCGCAGCAGAGAGAGAACTACATAACCAAACACCTTGAGAAGAGAAATCATGGTGAAACAAAGAAACAACCCAAATATGAAAGAAAAACAGGCATCATCAGAAAAGGAAGTAAACGAAATGGAGGCAATGGAGGCAAGCAACCTGTCAGAGAAAGAATTCAGAGAAATGGCCATAAGGTGGATGAAAAGAATGGAAGACCAATTCAACAATATGTGTAGGAACCAAGAGGAAATGAAGAGAAACCAAGAAGAAATGAAAAATGACATCACTGCCATAAAGAACTCAATAGAAAGCATCAACAGTAGACTAGAAGAAGCAGAGGACCACATCAGCGAGCTAGAAGACAAGGTAGAAAAAAATACCCAAACAGAACAGCTTCTAGAAAAAAAAATTAAAAAGCAGGAGGAGAGCCTAAGAGAACTCTGGGACAATGCTAAACGAAACAACATCCGAATAATAGGGGTGCCAGAAGGAGAGGAAACTGAGCAAGGAATAGAAAACCTGTTTGAAAAAATAGTAACAGAAAATTTCCCTGATATAGGGAGGAAAAAACTCACACAAATCCAAGAAGCTCACAGAGTCCCAAACAAAATGAACCCAAAAAGACCGACACCAAGGCACATAATAATTAAATTGGCAAACACCAACGACAAAGCAAGAATCTTAAAAGCAGCCAGAGAGAGACAGAAAGTTACCTACAAAGGTTCCCCCATCAGACTAGCGACCGATTTCTCAACAGAAACACATCAGGCAAGAAGGGAATGGAATGAAATATACAAAGTCATGCAAAGGAAGGGTCTGAATCCAAGAATACTGTACCCAGCGAGGCTATCAATCAAAATTGAGGGTCAAATCAGGAGCTTCACAGACAAAAACAGTCTACAGTAGTTTATTACAACCAAACCAGCAATGCAAGAAATGCTAAAGGGTCTGCTGTAAATAGAAAAAACAAGAAACAAAGAAGGAACGCAGCGGTAAAGAAAAAAAATGGCGACTAACAAGTTTCTATCAATAATAACTTTAAATGTAAATGGATTAAATTCCCCAGTCAAAAGGCATAGGGTAAATGAGTGGATAAGAAAACATGACCCATATATCTGCTGTCTACAGGAAACCCACCTCAGAAAAAAAGATGCACACAGACTGATGGTGAAGGGATGGAAAAAGGTTTTTCAGGCCAATGGAAGTGAAAAAAAAGCCAGGGTAGCAATACTTATATCTGACAAATTAGATCTCAAAGTGAAGGACATAAAAAGAGATCAAGAAGGCCACTTCATAATACTAAAGGGAGTAGTGCAACAAGAAGAAATAACTCTGGTAAATATATATGCACCCAATATAGGAGCACCCAAATACGTAAGAAATCTTCTGGAGGAGATCAAGGGAGAGATTGACAGCAATACAATCATAGTAGGGGACCTTAACACCCCATTATCTCCACTGGACAAATCCTCTAAACAGAAACTCAGCAAAGAAACATCAATCCTAAATGACTCACTAGATCAGATGGAATTAATTGACATCTTCAGAACATTTCACCCCAAAGCCACAGAATATACATTCTCCTCAGGTGCACATTTGTCATCTTCAAAGATAGACCATATATTGGGTCACAGACAAAGTCTCTTCAAATTCAAGAAAATTGAAATCATATCAAGCATCTTCTCAGACCACAAAGGCATAAAACTGGAAATCAACTACAACAAAAACAATCCAAAAAAATCAAACACATGGAGACTAAATAGCATGCTATTAAACAACGGCTGGGTCACCAGTGAGATCAAAGAAGAAATAAAAAACATCATGGCAACAAATGACAATGAAAACACAACAATCCAAAACCTATGGGATACAGCAAAAGCAGTCTTGAGAGGGAAGTTCATAGCTCTACAAGCCTACTGCAAGAAACAAGAAACAATGAGAATAAATGACCTAACTCTACAACTCGAAGAGTTAGAAAGAGAGCAACAAAAAAAGCCCACTGTAAGCAGAAGGAAGGAAATAACAAAGATCAGAGCGGAGATAAACGACATAGAGACCAAAAAAACAATACAAAAGATCAACAAAACCAAGAGCTGGTTCTTTGAAAGGATAAACAAGATTGATACACCTCTAGCCAGGCTCACCAAGAAACAAAGAGAGAGGACCCAAATAAACAAAATCAGAAATGAAAGAGGAGAAATAACAACAGACCCCATAGAAATACAAAGGATTGTTAGAAAATACTATGAACAACTCTACTCCAACACACTAGACAACCTGGAGGAAATGGACATATTCCTAGAAAAATACAACCTTCCAAAACTTAACCAGGAAGAATCTAAAAATCTCAATAGGCCAATAACTATGGAGGAAATCGAAGCAGTAATCAAAAAGCTTCCACCAAACAAAAGCCCAGGGCCAGATGGCTTCACAGGGGAGTTTTACCAAACATTCAAGGAAGACCTAAAACCTATCCTCCTCAGACTATGTCAAAAGATCCAAGAGGAAGGAACACTTCCCAGCTCATTCTATGAAGCCAACATCACCCTAATCCCAAAACCAGATAAAGACAATACAATGAAAGAGAATTATAGGCCAATATCCCTCATGAACATAGATGCCAAAATCCTCAACAAAATCCTAGCAAATCGGATCCAGCAGTACATCAAAAAGATCATACACCATGACCAAGTAGGATTTATCCCAGGGATGCAAGGATGGTACAATATCTGCACATCAATAAACGTGATACATCACATAAACAAATTGAGAGAAAAAAACCACATAGTCATATCAATTGATGCGGAAAAAGCATTTGACAAAATCCAACACCCTTTCTTGATAAGAAAGCCCATAATATCCTTTCACTCATAAATAGCCCATGGAACAAATAACAACTTTTTTCACACAACTTAACATTTTAATTAGTTATTAAAAGACATCTTAGACTAAGAGAAAATAAGAAAAAAAAATTTATACAAAAATTAGATTTTTTTAAGTGTTGAGATATATAAAACATAGATAAATAGATGTAGCTGTGATACAATAGGTGAGCAACCACTAAAATAATAGTACTCTGACACAAAACCAGGACTAGATTTGTGTTTTTTATGACCAAGTGACACTATAATCATTTCATCTTTCTTGATAATTTAAAAATTGTAGTCTTCAATACAAAATTCAATGTTCTGTTCCATTGTGTTCTGTATTTCAGGAATATTCATGCCCTACCATTAATAATCAAGTACTGTAATAGAACACTCTGAGGAACAATTATTCAGTGTCAATTATTTTTTGCTACTACAATTTGAAACTAATTATCTACCATAACATTCAAAAATGGTTGATAATTGTCCTTTTTCCTTTCTTTTGTTGGATCCTAAAAATCTCAGTGCTTAATTAAAGTAACCATATTAGTCTGATGTACTTACTGGTCTCCAGAACACGCATGTGAGGCAACTGATTAATGTTTCTCTCTCACATCAATGTTTCTCTCTCTCCTTTCCTCCCTTTCTAAAATCAATTTAAAAAATACCCTCAAGTGAGGATTAAAAAAAAGAAAAAACAAAGAGGCAAGTACCATGTTAAACAATGATGGAGTTTTCTCTGCAAAGAATCTCTTTTTTTAAAAAAGTCATAAAAGAGTTAGCAATCCATATAATAAAAGCCTAACATGCTAAGTGTCCGGTCGTCCATTCAACCAACCAAAGCGTAATATGCTAATGCTATGCTAAGACTGCTCAACTGCTCGCTATGACATGCACTGACCACCAGGGGGCAGACGCTCCGACCAATAGGTTAGCTTGCTGCAGGGGTCCAGTGGAACGGGACTGATCGAGATGGGCCAGACACGCCCTGGAGCCCTCCTGTGGTCCCTCCCCGGCTGGCCAACCTCCCGCACCCTTCCCCGGCCCCGATCATGCACAGGTGAGGTCCCGCGGCCTGGCCAGCACCCTCTCGAAATCCAGGACCCCTTGGGGGATGTCGGAGAGCTGGTTTTGGCCTGATCCTGCTCAATGCAAGAGCTGCCCCCTGGTGGTCAGTGTGCTCCCACAGGGAGAGCGCTGCTCAGCCAGAAGCCAGGCTCACAGCTAGCAAGCGCAGGGGCGATGGCGGAGGCCTGTCAGCCAGACATCCCCCAAGGGCTCTAGGACTGCTGAGGGATGCCCCCCCCCCCTCCACAAGTGCAGGAATTTTCTGCACTGGGCCTCTAGTAAGATATAATAATCTATGATATTGACTGTCATTCTCTTTAGGTAAGATTATCATGATGTCTAGCCACCAAATGGACAGTCATAAACTGATTGGTTGGATTTGGCAGTCTCAACAATAAACTGTGAGTAATATTCTGAAGTATTCAATAACAGATCACAAACTTGTTGTTAACAGTGGACAACTAGATCCAAATTGCTGTTATTACAATCAAAACAATATAGGAGTGTTTAGGGGATATCTCTTTCAGATGTCTGAGCACTCTTGTTGCTTACATTTTCTCCCCATAATCAAAGGAATTCATAGCAGTAAGAGACACTGTATGGACCTAAGTGAAATGCAAAACAGAATTGATATTCTAAAAAGTGCCTTGTGTTAACCATGTCTTTTTATTTTCTGTATCTTAATGCTTTGAAATCGGGGCCTTGATGACTCCAGAGGGACTGCAAACCAACCAACCCAGAGCCCACACGCCCAACCACCTCCTCCCTGCTCCCACACTCAGGGCAGCTGTTCCCCTGCCCTAATCACCCCAGGGCTGGCTACCAGACAACTAGGGGACAGCCCCTGTGCTCCAGACCCCACTGGAATTATTTGAATTAGAGACTCCTAAACCTGTTTACTCTTCCTCACCGGTTTCTTTTTGTAGAAACCACAGTCAAGGCTCCTGCCAACATTTCCCTCTATTCCCTCTACCTCTGACTTACCCCATGCTTCCTTGTGCGATCCTCATGATGGGGTGTGCCCTTTCCTCTTGGGATCTGTGAGTATAATAAATTTCTGTTTTCATCGCAGTCATCTCCTGCTTTATTGGCCTTACCATACCTAAATAACAATGAAAACTGTATGTTTAAATATTCCTGAAAATTTCAACTATGATTTTTCTTTACCTAGTAATGACATATTAGAGTTGAAAGACACTATATAAATAATGTAATTCTGTTGGTGGTGAAAATGGCACCAAAATGTTACCAGCAAATGGACCTCTGTTCAGCAACCTCGGTCCCCAGAGTTCTGGCTAAGGAAGAATTCAGAGCTAAGACTCAAATACAAGCAAAAGTTTATTTAGGAAGTCACAGAGGTGGAAGAGCTGAGTGGTGGAAGAAGTGGGCCAGCTGAGCTGCATGGGCTTAGAGAACAAGTTACAGAGGCAAACTTAGAAGCAAGAGAGGCAAGGACAATGCTTCCAGCGGAAGAGGGTGAGGAAAGGCGCCGGTGTGCTCCAGGGAGAGCTTGGTACTGGGTTCTCTGTCTTAGGGTAATTTATCTGTAGGTCTCAGGGGATTATCCCAATAGATTATTCATCAGCTTCCCAGGAGTGTTCTCTCAGGGTCATGGTCTCCACTGACTGGTCGGTGCCAGGCCAGGGGGTCATTAATCAACACAGCTGGTCCTGATGTCAGCCAGTGTCGCTTGTCTGGTTTTGATGCTTTTCTGGGCCTAGAGCTGAAAGACAACTGAGGCCTAGATATATTTCATTCCATCAGAACCTTGTTGTCCTGGGTACTTAATATTTAAGGGCTATTTTCTGGCCCCCTTTTCTGTTCCTCCTCTAAGGAGGTCTAACCTGCATGACTAGCAACATGCCAAGGGAGGAAAGGTCAGGTGAGGGTCTGAACCGCATGACCAACCACATGTTAGGGGAGGAAAGGTCACGCTGGGGTCAAAGTCCTTGTTTGCCCAGTTTTGCACATCGCTAGCCACCCAGGGCTTTCTGCCCTGCTGACCTTCTGTACCTGGTCCATCGTCCTTGCTCAGCTCATGTGTGTCTAATTGCCTACCACAGTTCAATCCATATCACTGATAAATTTAATAATAGACTCCAGGTGGCCACTGGCAAAATTATGTTCACATGATGGCATGTTTTCCTGCTGAATCCAGATGTGACCAAAGGCCAAGGAGCACTCTAGGCAGCTTCTATCAGTCAGAGATCTGGCTTAAAGATGAAATCTATTTACCTCCCATGGACTAGCCCAGCTAGTAGCAGTGCCTTGACTGGATGCAGGTTTTCTGATTCCTACTTCAGTATCTTTATGGTATGTCATCATCTTCTTCCTCCTCCCTCACAGAGAGGGTAGGTGATGGGGAAGAGAAACTTAATGAAGAAAAATATACTTTACTGTCATTTCCCTTTAGATCTGATGGTATGTGAGATTTAATTTTTTTTTAAAATATATTTTATTGATTTTTTTACAGAGAGGAAGGGAGAGGGATAGAGAGTTAGAAACATCGACGAGAGAGAAACATCGATCAGCTGCCTCCTGCACATCTCCCACTGGGGATGTGCCCGCAACCCAGGTACATGCCCTTGACCGGAATCGAACCCGGGACCTCCCAGTCCGCAGGCTGATGCTCCATCCACTGAGCCAAACCGGTTTCGGCATGAGATTTAAATTTTTAATATCTAAGTACATAATTATATACAATGAGCATACACTACATTTAAAATTAGAAAAATAAAAACATACTACAAAAAATCTGTTATAATAATAGCATGAAGACTTAATAATTGATTGGTATGTTCTAACTACTAAAGGTGTAAAGCTTGAAAAATTTTCTCAGTTCAACAGGAATTTATTAAATGTCTACAAAGTGCAAAGTACTTAAATAAGTCTGCTGAGGGACCTGCCTCGCACTCTCCAAACGTTATGGCTATGGTTTTCAATAGCTTAGAGAAAATGTAATAGTCAACAAAATGAATTCAATTTCCAAACATTTATTTAGCTTAGCTAATACAACTTCTTTTATCCTTTTTGTCTTCATTTCTGAATGCTGTACATTTTTTCAAGATCTTGGCTTACTCCTATTTATATTTTAGCTAATACAAATTTTAAAATTATTTATATTTATTTCAGGACTACTTCTAATTCTTTGTGAGACAAGTTCGGAAATGACCAAATAAGTCATGTAAATTATAAAACTTGAAAAGGAGTCCTTATGCAAATTTTCTTTTCAATTTACATGTGCTACATATTAATTTTCCATTCTTTTATTATTATTATTATTATTATTATTATTATCATCAGAGTGTCTGTACTACCTCCAGCCTCTGCAGGATGATATTTCAAATGTGTCTGGTATTTCAAATAACTTCAATGAAACTGCTTCTATCCTATAAAAGGAGATATATAAATTTTGAACCATTAACCAACACAAAAACTTTGAGAAACCCTCGTCAGCTAAATGTTTACTCAATGGGTGGGCCATTCATAGTGAAAAAAAAAAGCCAAAAATATAGATTTTAGTGGTTTATTAATTATATTACTTTTAATCGGTATTCATTGAATTAATTCTTTTTCATTTTCCTCATTCTCTTCTTATTATAAATGTGGCTCCTTTGACTCGTATATCACTGATTGTTGTCTACAAAATAAAACAAGACAAAAAGCCTCATGACCTTTTCTAATTAAATGAGATAAATGTCCATCTATATAGTATGTCATTTTTCCTCAGAAGCCTGCCATGCTGTTCAAAGATCATGCCTTAGTACCACCCTCCTGGCTAGAAAAGCACACTGTTAATGAAATGCTGTGTCACTGGGCAAATAGAACTTGACTTTGTGTTGCAAGAAAAAGGGAACAGTGTTGCACAAAGCAGCATCATTCCCTATGTTACTGAAAATTGCTCCCATCCATCAAAGTGTTTCCCAGGCATTCTGCGGGTGTGAGCTGTGTAGGCTGTGGGCATCTGCAGTACAGATACAGCAGGGACCATTGGAGCCCTAGCTTTTGCTGCTGGTTGGATAACTCCGTTCTAATGAGGCGGTGACCCTATTCTAAGGAATACAATTCATTCAGTTTCTCTCTCTCTCTCTCTCTCTCTCTCTCTCTCTCTCTCTCTCTCTCTCTCTTTCTCTCTCTCTCTCTCTCCCCAGCTTCCTTTCTTGATCCCGGTTATTAAGGGGAAAATATTAAAATATTAGGTAGTGAATGGCCATCACCATTTGGATTTTTATTTCACCATTTGGATTTTAAAAGGATGTGTAATTGACATGTGGAAAGTGTAAAAAATGTAAAATGATGAATTGCAGAATTGTAGACTGAGATGAGAGCAGACTGAACATAAGGAACCTTCTGAAATCTCATATATGAGAGATAGCTAGCCTTGGTAAATGGTACTGATAGTTGATACCAAATTGGGGAACATGGATTTTGAAACAAATAATACTATACTGTTTGAGAATATCTGTGAAGTTCACAGAAGACATTTAAAACAAAATTTCTAGAAAGTTTTTATTTTCTAGGAGAATTCATTCATAAAACAAAAATTCAAGGCAAACCTCACTGTGATTATTTCAGACACAAATCCAGATCAGATTACATCACTGCTTAATTATAATGTAAGGAGCATGGGCTTTTCAGAGCTCTAAAGTCGGGTAGCAATGTGGTTTAAAAAAAAAGCACATGATACGTTACTAATCTTCCTCTGAGAGTTAAGAAAATACACACCCTAAGATGTCATACAGTAAGAATGCTGAAATTGCTTATACCATATTAGGAAAAAAGCTTATGCTACGATTAACTAGCATATTTTTCCTTTTGATTTGTTAGCCATCATATTGGTTTGGGGAAACATGAAACAATTTAAATCAATTGTAAGCTATTTGATTTCCACATTGTAGCTACAGAACTATAACTTTTTCTAATATTAAATTATGATTTTTAAAAGTAGCCTAGTTTATAATAGAATAATATTTGTTGCTAGACAAAAAAAAATCAAAACATCTCACTTTTTTCTATTTGTTTTGACAAGAAGAAAGTTTTAGGTACTTTTATTTAGAAGGAAATTATTATTTGTTGAGAATTTGCTATATGCCAATGTTCTGGACACTAATTTGTAAGCTCTCATTTATCTAGCATAAACATTGAACCAGAGCAACTAAAAAAATAGTTTATTGCCAATACTATCAATAAGATGGTCTTTATCCATTATTTTATAATTTACAAGTAAATTTTAACATAATTTTATTTTTAATCTGTTTATATATTTATAGTTTACAAAATTAAATAGTTCCACCAAGTTGATGAAAAACAGTAATCCAAGAGTTTCATGTGCTTCCCTCCCAAATCTTATTTCCAAGGGACTAGTTTCCAATCCTTTTTTTCTGTCTCTTTTAGTATTTAGAGCCATATTTCTATACTTTTTAATACTACTATTCTAAAATTTTTTCAGTTTTATATATCTATCAACTTCCTTTTATGGAGGATGAAAATATGGTTCTGTTACACACTTACTGCCCCCTCACATCTATACCACACCCACACATACTCTCACATATCTCCTCCTTCCCATAATGCATATTGTCTCAGCCTTTGACTAGATCAATAGTCAGTATTTACATATCATTTATGTTGTTACGACCATGAGATATTTTTCATTGCTGAGCCATGTAGCATAGGATGATTATATTTCCTCTTTTGTACAACTTTTTGTTTTCCTGGAATTTGTTTTGTCACTTGTTTAGTTCTCTATGTATCTTATATTAATTTACCCTAAACTCTTCTAGAAATGTAAATCTTCTCTCAACATGTTTTTCAAAGATATTAGGTGTTAGGACTATAGGGCAATATGATACTTAGCCATTTGTAAGCTTCCCACCACAGGAGAACAAAAGACCAGGAAAAACTTGCTGAACACCCGAGTCAGACCATACAAGGAATGACAACTGTCCTGAAGACACCTGATCGCACACATGCATTCCATCCGCTTTCCAAGCTCACTAGCTCAGCCCCCAAAGCCCCCTGACAAGTTTCCCCCCAGTGACTGCATATAAGGATGAAACTCCAGCTCCTGGGTGCTATTATCACTGACCTTGGCTCGGTGCT